CCCGAGGGAAACGGGAGAACACATGTTCGTCATAATTCAAATTATTACATACGATTGGACTCGTGCACAAAGTTTTCTTAAGGGAGGACGTATGTCCGTCTCTCATTTTCACGCTGGATTCTCGACGAGGACCCAGTCCCGATTGCGTTGTTGATTGATAAATGCATCTGACCGAATTGCACCGGGCGTGCGATGAACCCCGATGCCGACAGGAGAAAGGCACGAGGAGGGGGGTCGTCGCGCGCGGCGAAGGGTCCAAAGCACGGGGGTTCAATAGCGATCTCGTCGATTGATCGTATCGCACCGCGCCGGCCCCGCTGTCGGTCATTAATTTCCGGCATCGTTCTCTCGCCTAACGCTCGCGCTATTCATACCTTGCATTGTCCGGCGACGCAGAGCCATCGTTCGCCGTTGCGTTCCGTCGGCAACCCGCCGCCGCTTCGTCCGCGAAGATTCGGGGCGTCGCAGGGCGTGCCGTCCATTACTGCCGGTTCAAGCGTTGCGTAAAAACGCTCGCCGACTGCACGGCAATTGAGCGCGCAGGAGTTCGGCGCTGGGGAACAACAGTGGTCGCGATTAGGCCAGGCGGAAGTTAGGTCACCAGGCCTGGTCGCCCGGCTACGTCATCGTTATATCGGTCGAACACCGATCGGCCGACGTCACTGGCTCGTTTTGGTATCGCGAGAAGCCTCTTTGTTGCTTCATAAAAGTCACGTGTCTCGCGAAGAAGGGAATTCAGCCGGAGAAGTTGAACTCGTATCGTACAACTGAATATCAGTATTACGTATATATGATAACTGATAAGCGCGTCGAACACCGGCCGGCTCGAGGGTTTATCCAGTAATGATAAGAGGATCGATTAAACGATGTTACAGTTAAATGCTTTGTACCTTTTAGGGAGAGGAAGCTGCGCTCTCCATACAATGTTATCCGAAGATGAATATGAGAGATTAATTGAGACTCTTTCCGTTTAAAATTCATTATTCGCCGTCTCTGCAGGGAAAATCAATGTCCAGATGGCACAGAAAATCCAAAAAGAATTCCTTTCAATTCCCGAATTGCCAAGTGAATTCCTTTTCCATATCCCAGTTCTTTTCTAACAATTCTAACATTCCTAAGAGTTCGCGTTTGTCGCAAAATTCTGAGCTCTTCTTCGCGAAGGAATTTCTTGTATTCGAAACAACCTTAATTTATTTTCGTAAGAAGTTGAGAGATTTATACTTCTATGGAATCCCTATTGATTTTATTGAACCGGAAGGAAGTTCGCTCGAGTTCGAGCGGATTTAATTACGTTGAAATTATGAAGATTTAAAAAAGTGAAAAATCCCTTTCGAGTTATCAATAATCATCTGTGGCATCTATGCTGTGCGTGCTTCCCGGCACAATTACCGCTGATCGACGAACACATTTCTCCGAGATAACGATCCACAATCGGAAACTAGCAAATCGATTTCCAGACTCACCGTCTACGAAGGGCACCCAGACGTAACTGCGGCCCTTGTAGTTCCGCCCGTTGTACTTGGCGCACTGTTCCGCCCGCAAGTCTTCCGGGAAGTTCGGGCATTCCTGCACAAACGCGTAATGGATTAATTAAACTTACGGTAATTAAGGATCGATCGACGGGGAGGGGGGGGAGGAGGAGGAGGAGGAGAAGACGGCGTTACCGTCGAGAAAGAGAACGGTACGGCGCTCTCCTCGGGGAGGAGGGCGGAGGAAAAAACCGACGCGATCGATCGCGTCGCTTTTTACGGCACGTCGCGCTTTTCCCAAAGCGCCGCGGGTAAATAAAGGTAAAATTATTTGCGGCCTCTGGCAGAAAAAAAAGCTCGCATTCCGAGCCGAGTGCGGGCGCGCGCGCGCGCGCCGAGAGGAAGTCCGTATATTCGTGCAAACACGCGAATGCCGGCACGTGTGGTGCGCGCTACGTGCGCGGCCGCGTTGCAATTTCCGGGTAGACTATTAATTGCCGGCGAACGAAACGGTGGTTACTTTGCCCGGGCATGTTTGCGAATCGCGAATGCAGCTCGGAAATGTAGTCCCCCGGATATCGAGCCCGAAGATAAATACTCCCGCGCGCGAGGCGCCGTTTTTCTTCCTCCGGGTAATAACGGATAACGAAGCCGCATCCTTCGGGGTAACAGCAGGGACAATTTCGCGATTTTAATTTCGAGACGGCCTCGACGCAAAAATGCTCGCTTACGCCGATAGGAAGACATTTAGAAAATTATGCGACGGAATCTGGATGGGACTTGGAATGCTGGGATCGCGCGCGCGTACATATTTCGAACAACATATGCAGAAATGGAGGGAACTTTCATCAAATATTGACAAATATTTGCACAAGGCATTTCTAAATAGTACGTCGGCGAAACAGCAGCGTTTTGGCGGATCACCTTAGCAGAATATTTTTGCACAATTAAATCGCTGTCGCGTTACGACGAGCTGCCGCTACGAGTCGTCTCATACTCGTAAGATTCGCGCGAGACGAGATAAAAGCAGGCTCGGCGGTAAACATGTCCCAAGCTGAATCTGTTTTAAACGTTTGATAGACGTAACTGTTGTCGCTGGGCAATTTTGCTTCTAAATGTCGAAATAAATTGTACATGATTTAGCCCCTAAATTGAATTAATTAATTTTTGGGCAAATACCATTTAGAAATTGTATCTCTACGAAACCGCTGCGTTATGGCGAGTCACCTTCCTCGGTTTCGAAATTTCCTTCTATTGGATGATGCAATTATTGCACAACATTTGAGAAACTTTTCTATCGGGGTGTATGACGCTCCAGATGAATTGGCATTGCCTTTCCTTTCTCTCGTGAAACCGATGGCGATACACTCTTAAGCTTGTATCGTGCAGTACCGCCAAATTCGAGTACAAATTTCTAAGTAGAATCACCGTATAACTAGTATGCCCACCCTCTGTCGGTTCTCTGATCTTTTCGGCTTCGATCACGTGGTATTCCGCCATGTTTTTGGTATAAAATCCTGTCACACTGTCACACGGATTTCACACTACCACATATCCCACATAGCACATAATATTACGTAATATTACATACTGCAATGTAATATTACAGTAATATTACTGATATAATACATTTATATAAGACATTGCGATATTACATTAATATTACTGACATTACATAGAAATATTACACAGTAATATAATATTGAGGATGTCAAATGACCTCCACTTTTGGACGATACATGCTTAAGAGCATGGTGTAAAGGCACAAGGTGAAGCAATCTGGTGGATGCGCAGTGTCAACCGATCAGAAGTGGCCCAAACCGAATTGACTAATCAGAAATTTGCCCCAACCCTCAAACTGCAAATCATTGCGGTTGAATGCAGGAAGAACAATGAACAGTTGTTGAATGAACTTTGCCCCCAAAAGTGGTTACATGCGCAATGTTTCACCTTGCATCATTACACCATGCTTAAGAGCGTACGCGCGAGGCACGAATTACTTGTGGGTCAAGAACATCCAGTAACGTCAACGGGCACTGCTCGCGGCCGAGATGTAAACAGATCTTATCGCGCCGGTCTTTACTACCATCAAGAGCTAATCAACACCGGAGAGCCCTTTCTCCCTTCCTAGCTCTCCTCGAGACCGGCCAGAGACCATCCATTACACGGCGGTCTTTAGTCTCGCAGGTGGTGATTATTCTTATGAATTTTAAACAACGCCACGTGTGCATGCGCACACATACGTCCCGGACTCTCTCGGGGCGAGGGGGGGGGGGGATATAAATCGTCGTCGTGCGCATCCTTAATTGGCCCGCGCGATGATTTGTTCGAGACTCGTGACGCACCGTCGAGAGGAAAATCGTAAGGAGCGTGCCTCGCGGGTCTAGACATAGATATAGACGCGCCCGCTGATTTATGCGGCATCGTGCAAGTATAGTGACACACGCGCGAGCGTGTGTACGCGAAAATTTTATGCGGACGAGAGCGAGCTCTCCTCGCGCGGCTAATTGTCGGTTCAAGGCCTCGGCAATAAACCGCCCTGGAAATAAGGCGGCCTTCTGTAGGCGCCTAGCTAAGTTTTCCTTAACTTCCAGGAATCTCCTCGCAGGCGACGACACAAGTACCACTTTCGGCGCTGCAAATTCTCTCCTCGCGAAACTTGCGCTTACATTTGATATCGACGGACTGGGCGCGATCGACGGAATGGAGCTTGTTAGTAAAGAAGATTCTAACCACCAGCCAATTTTACATCGTGCAGGCAGTTTAGGAAATATCGCTCGAATCTGCATTCTCGAAAACTTTTTATGTAATTTAAATTTTGATTTCTTAAATGTGTACGTTAGATTTAGAATAAAGTTAAACGCTTTGTGCGCTAGTATTTTTCAACAAATTTAAGATTCTTCAACAGTTTCTCTGTCGTTCGAATTTTAGCCACGAAATAATTTTTCAAACGCATGATAGCGTTGGGATGCAGTTAAGTAACCTATACACTACTGTTTTCCAGCAAATTTAAGATTCTCCAAGATTTCTTCTATAATCGCTCGGGTGTATATCTTTGAAAGTATTTTCATGAAATAGAATGAACTGTAAGACAAAGTTACATAAACGCTCCATCATATTTCATCAAATTTAAAAACTTGATTCTCCAAGAGTTATCTGCAACCGAGCCAGTGAGAACAAAAAGAAGACACGCGACATTTTGGCAGAAATTGAGTTATTAATGGATCCTTGCTTTACGTAAATAGGCGCACCTGTTTGAAAGATTTTTTAAAATAAATACTGCAAGATCTTCGCTCTTCAAGGCAAGGTATCATAAAATTCACGTAAAAATTCATATTGCTTGTAAAACAGTCTCCCAAACATGATTTTGTCACGTGCGCCCTTTCTGTTCTAACCGATTCAATTCTTATCGATAACGCGCTCAAGTTCTTACACGCCGGCTTACCTGCGTATTGCACGTGTGGTAGCGCTTGTATGTGCCGATACAAATGGGCCTGGCGTTGCTCGTACCGTTCTCCGAGATAATACTTCGCCTTCTCAAAAGTCTCCTGGAACGAATCGCTCGCATTAGCTCAGCCATTGACTCGCGCGGGTAGCGCGCGATGCATCTCGATTTTTAGCGCCGAGCGCATAAGCGCGCTTTTGAGGAGTGCAGCGAGCGTCGTGTTAATTTCAAGATCAAAGCAGAGAAAGAGCGAGAACGCACGCCATAAAAGCGAAAGAAACATTTCTGTATGCGTTATTTAGTCATTGTTGCTTTGCTACGCTGAAGGAGGTAATTGCACTTCTTATTAAAATTGATGGAAGAATGATCGACTTTTTGGTGCCACGTAAAATTGAATAAGTTTTGAGAATTTAAATTTGCATTTTTCTCCCCGATGCATTTTATTTAAGTGCCATTTTATCTATAAACAGCGGTTAAATGACATTTATACAGCGATCTTCAAAATATTAATTAAATATTAATATCGCCATTGTGATCCAATGCGACGGAGCAAAATCCGATTGATTCGACTTGTCCTAATTGTTTACGTTGAATTACGCTAATCAGAATTCCCGTGTAACTACCGTCAAGGATAAATCAAATTCAAGTCGTCAGGTGATTTGCAACTGCGAGATATCGGCTACTTTGTATTTACTCGTATAGTGAACTCGAGATTCATATTGCGAGTCACGTAACGGCTCGCGGTAGCGTTACGAAGGTGTAAATGTCAGTGGCGATAACAACACGTTTCTGCCCCCCGGGAGAAGCTCGCAGGAGTCGTCGGCCTGCCGGTGTATAATCTTCTTACGCTACTGATCCGTAATTTGCACGCTGCTTTATAGCTAGTCAGACAGGACATACGGGGTGTACGCAACTTGTGCGCTAAGGTCTCTTTCAATCTGAAGCGAGTTCTTAACTATTCACATTTTATACACCTATATATATATACATACTCAAATGTTATGTATTCTTTTACAGTTTAAATACTAGAGCTCTATTTTAACATGTGTAATCCTAAATGAGATTTTCTATCGACGATCAAATTCACTCGTAAATAGATTCTAAAAGAAAACGTATACTTACATAATAAATACTTAAGTAACAGCTCGAGTTCTCTCTCTCTCTCTCTCTCTCT